TTGACTGTTTACTCATTGCTGAGTGGCTTTTCATGAAAGGAACATGATATTTAAAGAATTCTGTTACAAGGAAGGGATGTGGTAGAAAACCATGGCCTAAAATGTTAAAAAAAAAAACATGCACATTTTACTGGGGTCCAATCGGACCCAACAAGCTAATAAGATCTTTCGCTGTAACTGCCACACCAAAAGACCAATTCTGGTGAAAAGGTACACAGGTAAAGCTGTAAGAGAAGAATATGGACAAAGAAAATCTTTCCTTAATTGAAAATGTCCAGAGAGCATGTATAAATACACTCCTGGGGGTCCAATCGGACCCTATAAGGTCCCTTCAGGCTTATATTGAGAAAAAAAGTTTGATTGCGATCTTTACGACCTTTACACAGCGGAGTTATCACTTGAGAATGACTCACTTGTGCTTGAACTGACGTCACGTCCAGTCTCCTGCCTGGCACCGTAAAAACCAAACACACGTTTAGGCCACACCAAGTAAATTTTATGGATGACGTCCTTTGGAGACCCTAAATCTAATGCGAAAGGGCGAAACAAAAACAAGAAGGGCCCTAAAAAACAAGATGCCTAGACTAGAAATATACTAAGAGACGACAAATGTTAGGACACAAATTGAATGAGGTGACAGTGTAACAAGCAAAAAGTCTTTTATTCATCATCAAAACAGCAATAAATCAGGTGGAACAGCAGTTGTCGTCCTATCCTGTTTTCGCGTTACGGGTTTCACGTCAATCTGACGATTTGCGGCACCGTCGTGACTCTTTGGTCATAGTTACAAGAAGCAGAATTTCTTGTTTTTTTTCTAGGAACAGGCCAAAATCCATGCGCGCGCGGACGTCATCCATAAAATTTACTTGGTGTGGCCTTATCGAGAAAGACGAAAGCTACTTGATAAGAGAACGCGGAGCTCGTGCTATTGGAGCCAGACTGGGCACCCCATACACGTAAAGTTAAACAGCAAGTATTGAGTAACGAGGTACCCTTCACCTTCACCTTGTCCCATCCTCTTCTGGAGGGTCGGGGACTGTGGTAGCGTGCAACACAAGCTTCTTCCATCCATCCATGTCCTTGACCTGCCTGTCCAATCTCTGATGTCGTCTACCCATCTCCTACGCGGCCTCCCTCTACTCCTACTGCCACAGATCCGTCCTTGCAGGATGTGGGATGAGGTACTACGTTAGTCAATAGTTGCTGAACTGAGGAGGCTCCCCATCTCCTGAGAGGAACGCCGTTAACAGTATTGCTGTCGCCAAGATAACGGTGAACTCGGAACTTCTACGTGGATAATCAGGAGCATTTATTCTGAGGTCACCGTAGGTCAAATTTAGGAGGACTGTCATGGCGGCCGTACCACATGCAACTGTAGTCCTTCCACTTGGCGCCATTTTCTTGTCTCCTCCAAAAATCCACCAGGTCAGGATATCCGTATTTTCTTCGCCAAAAATCCAGAAAATGGCACGACTCCGAATTGGAAACATCCCCGAGGATTTGTTCTCCACGTTAGAATGAATATTTTTCAAACTAGAAGCCGAAAATTTATCAAAACTTGACAAATACTCCCTTCTCTTCCCCGTCTGTCACCGACACTGGCGACAGACGCAGACTGAATGGACCGTACCACGTGTGATTTTTACACAGGGGCGCACAACAGCTGACTCTAATTTCTACCCTGATGACCACAACTACATTACCACCAAGAATCAATCCCCTCAAAAATAACGGTTCCCTCTCCACCATTTCGGACTAGTCTGTGTCCAAATTACACACAGGCAGCGTCAGCAGCAAAAAGTATTTGTAACTAACGTGTAGCAGTCGGAATCTGCTAATTGAATCAACCACGGCACATTTCCGTGGACCACATGTTTGGGCGCAACCTGTGCCTGCCCTTGGTGCTGAACGCCATCCGCACAATATCAATTAGAGCGTTCATGAAATACAGGAACTTTAAACAGCTTGCCAAACGTTCTGGAAGAAAATAGGCATGTTCTTGAGGAAGGTAGGAGTCGGACTGTCAATGTTCTACGCTCCATGAAATCGCAACGGCAGCGGCTACATGTTACGTTGCATTCGGTCAAGCTGATTCTGCCTACATGAAAATCCAGGCACTAATATAGCTTATTGTAATAGACTACACCGATAACATACGCATATGAACCATTTAAGTGGTCTGGCTACAAATTATGTGGGATTAAAACGCCCAATTATGCCCCAGTCTTGTAGGCATACGTCCCAACATGTTTCGGTGCAAACGGTGCCTGTCCTTGGTGCTGAACGCCATCCGCACAATGTTAAACACGCGCGCGCTCGCTTCTTGAGCGTCCATGAAATACAGGAACCTGCCAAGGTAATAGTTTGCCAAGGCTTACGGAAAACAAACTAGTATCTTTTAGGCATGCAGCTGAGAGGGAATGGATCGTACGGCCAACAACGCTCTAAGCTAAATTCACAACGGCAGCGGCTACATATTGCGTGGCATTCGGGCAAGCCGCCTAAATCCAGCCACATATTGCACTTTACGTGGACTACATCGATTGCGCTTTATGTTAAACTCTAACGTTGTTACATTTGTGCCATTTTAGTGGTCGATCTGGCTAAGTCCTAGATGGCCAGGAGTATCATCTTAATCTATATCTTGTGGCTGATCGACGGATTTTTTCGGGCTGCACCATTTTTACTACCCTGGAATCCAGAACTCGTTTTCCGGGCCGCAAGAGCCCTTCGCCCGCTGGTGTAAATTACCGCTACGGGGGAGTCTAGCCCGGGGGGAGTTTGGCTGGCCGGACAAACGGGTCTAGTAAAGGGCCGGCCAAACTCCCCCCGGGCTCAACTCCCCCGTAGCGGTAATTTAGGCAGGCGGGCGAAGGGCTCTCGGCTGCCGAAGGAAAACGGCTAACGGCCCGATACTAGTTTGGCATCCAGGGTACATTTTTACCTGAGAAGAGATTATCAGGGATTTTGGTGGTGCACCTCCATGTAGGTAACAATAAATCAAATCCCTCTTATCATTTTACTTTCAATAGGAAGAAGGTTGTAGATAATATGATTGATATATGATGTCCCTGATATATCATGTCCTTGATGTATCATCTTCAAATTGTTGTTTGGTGTCCCCTGGACCAAATACATGTAGGCAGTAGATTACATGCACAGATGATTGTTATGCTCAGTTTGAGTTTTAACTAAGGCCACACCAATTTAATTTAGTCTGTTGGCTCTCGGATTCGCCTCTTCATCTTTTTCTGATTTGCAAAAAAAAAAGATTTTCAGGTTCTAATTCTACATAAATCAACTCAATATGCTCATATTTTCCCCTTAATAGTTGAGGAAAGTCATTTTCTTCCTAGTCATTACTGATTTCCACCAATACGGTGGTTTGATTAAAAGTTCAAAACGTATTGTTACCTCCATGAAATGTGTCATGGAGGTTATATTTTCAGTTGCGTTTATCTGTCCGTCCGTCTGTCCGTCCGTCTGTTGGTCAACAAGATAACTCAAGAACGCCTGGATGGATTGGTTTCATACTTGGTGTGTTGGTAGGGTGTGACGAAAACTGGAAATGATTAGATTTTGGGCCCCCTAGTGGCTTCCCTTGGTACTGCAGCAGAACTTCCGGTTTTGATATCTCGCGATCTGGACATGCTAGGGTCATGAAATTTGGATGGAAGGTAGCTCTTGTCCTCGGGAAGAAGTCACGTGAGTTTGGTCCCCCTAGCGGCTTGTTCTGGAACTGCAGGATGGTTTCTTTAAAAATTACTATAAATATAAAATATAATATAATTTATATAATTTGCAAAATATAATTATGCAAATCAGGATCTAATTTGCATAATTAATGAGGAAATTATATAAATCAGCTGTATTTCATATTAGGGCTATAAAACTCTATAGACATATGTTAGTGAGAACGACAAGATCATTGGCAGATATCGATTATGTAAAGGAAGACCTAATTTGCATAATAAATGGCAAATTGGTACAATTTTATGGTGGTAACTGCTGGGAATTTAATACTTGCCATAATTGGAAGTCCAATGAAGGTGAACATCACTAAACATAATTTATGTCAATCAGGACCTCATTTGCATAATTTATGAGGAAACGCTAGAATAGCCTTATTTCTTAAGATAACCCTGTCATTTGGTGGAGAGTATGATCAATTGATACAATATATGCAAATGCATATGATTTGAATATATGCGGTGAAAAATGTAAGCCAATTACAGGTGGTCATCACCATTCGTAAGATTTATGAAAACAATACACATGTCATGGAGGTATGAGATCATCGAACTCTAGTTTAAATATCAACCCAGCCTTTTGTGTTGACTTCATGACTGCATGCCTAGACCTGTTTTTGTTTTGTTTTTTTGCCATGTCACTTCATGTTTTTTTCTGAAACAATTAGAGAACCAACAAATTAAAATGGTGTGGCCTAAGCTAATGACATTGTTTTTACACAATGTCATCTAACATTTTACGAACTACATGTAGATCAAGACCAAAGAAATGTCAATGCAGTCACCAAAAAGGTGCATTTATTGGGTGTCTTTGCTGGAGGGAATGTTTCTGGATTGATCATCCAAGATAAGTGTCTAAAATATACTTGACATGTGGCACAAAAAGTACATTTAATGATAGAATTCTGTGAATCTTCTCTTCTAGATATAACTACTTCTAGTAGCTGGCATAAGGCCACTTTGATACTATTGCATAGAGGCACAAGCAATCTTGAATTAAAAGAGCAATTTTCCACCACCAGAGTGTTCGAAACACCAACGCACAATAAATATCACTATCAAATATCATTCAAAAACATTATTCATAATATAGAACTATATACAAACCTCAACAATTCATAACAGGGATATGCAAAATTGGTACAATACAGAGTCTGACATGACATGTTTGAAGGAGCATTTCTGGCCCCAGAACAACTCTATTCTGTGAGTTTATGACTATAATATAAGAATAAAGGACATTATGACAATCAACAAAAGTTACACCAATAGCAATACAAGTATTCACTGTAATATTCCAAATAGCACAAACAAACATATACCCTTAGCCTTGCAAACAACATGGTCGAAACTTCAAATTATTCAGTTCGTACCTCTGGTGCTATATACGACAACTCACTCAGTCAGAGTTATCACTCCAGCCTGCATTTCATCAAGGTGGAAAAATACACCATTGTGACAAACACGAATACTTTATACATGTATGTTCATTAAAACATTATGATAAAATGATTATTTCAGACTGAGTATTTTTTGACACTTTGTGACACTCAATGTACGACACGTATGGCTTATTTTGTACTTGTCAAAGCATGGTTCAAAGATGGTCCCAAGAAGATAGCAATACAAGAACTGCAAATATATATACCAAGGATAAGCTCATACTGGCAAACCAAAGTGCTGTCTAGAAAGCAGGAACACACTAACACCGTACAACAGCAATTCTTCAACAGCATCTAACAAACACTTCTGACATGATACAGTTCCTACTAAAGTGTCTGAAGTGTTAACACGAGAACCAACGATATGGACGGATAGCAGCATTTGTTGTAGCCTGGCGTCCAGTCTATTGTGGTTAGGCTTCCCGGCAGGTTTTGCACAATGGAAGTTCAATTAGCCCTGCCATGATATTGTGGTGAGGCTAATCAACTTCTGGTGTACAAAACTGTGTAATACAAGGTGTAAAACAGGTGTAATACAAACACCGAGCAGGGCAGGGGGGAAACTATTTCCCCGAAAGAGAGCCCCTACCCCAACCATAATGGAATGGACACCAGGCTACATTTGTTGGAGACCTCCCACAGCTCCAGTCTCTCACTAAGACCATGGGTTCTTACTGCCAGCGCCTGCTTCTATGGAGTCCACGGGTAGCGAAGCCTGGCTGGCGTCCGTTGCCTGGGACCTTCTCATGGAAACTTCCGCTGGTGAGATCTGTCTCAGGTCCCGTCTGGCCTTCCTCACCGGAGTCATTTCTCGCAGTGACCCGCTGGGGTCTGTGTAGGAGCTTTTCTGCAGCGACGTCGCCGCGATGTCCTTCTGTTCTTCGGCGAGAGTTCGCGACTTGTGTACGACGCTGCCGCTGTCCCTCCCGCCGTTCAGTGGGACGTCCCGGAAGACGTCCTCGTCTTCGGTCTGCGAGGGGGTCTTGATTCTGGGCGCGGCTTCCCTCCTGTTGGGAGAGCCCGGAACCTTGTCGTCTCCACCGTGGGACCGTCGCTCTCTCCTGGACACGGACTTCCGATCTTCCCGCGGCGTGTCGCCCTGTCCTCTCTCCGGTTCCTGGAACCTCACCAACAACGCCGCGCCGCCGTTCCTCACCTCGTCCCTCA